TCCTGGTGATTGGCCCCAAGTCACCCAGCTGGCTTTCATATCTAAGAAAGGACTAGAACTCTCCGTCTCCTAGTGATTGGCCCAAAGTCACCCAGCTGCTTTCATGCGTAAGGCAGGACTAGAACTCACACTTTCTTGCTTTCTAGTCTGGTGCCTTAACCATTAGACAAAACTAACTTTCTTATTTGCCTCTTATGGTCCTTTTTAAATGTCGATGAGATTCTTCCTTCCATCCTAATCGTGTCTGGAGTATCCTGGTTTGTTCTCGTGCTGTCAAGACCCTGAGCCCGTAAGCTTAAACCAAGTTTAATCTCCTCCAGATTCATTGCCCACGCAATCTGCCACTGTTACCAGCAGGCCTGGGAGTCCATGGAGGACCCACGGGCCAAGTTCTACTTCCCTTTCCTGTTGTCAGCTGGCAGCGCCGGTCTCGGGTGCCTCTTTCTGTGCCTCACCGTACACCGGTATGGACGTCGTGGGATTTTGCTCCTCACCACCACCCTGACCGGCATCGCCTCTCTGATCCTGCTGGGGCTGGGAGAATGTAAGAACCCCAGGCTCGATTTCCAGGGAAAATCTTTTTGCAGCCTAAGACCTCCGGCTGGAGTGGAGTGGAGAGGAGAGGAGAGGAGAGGAGTAGAGAGGAGAAAAGTGGAGAGAAGAGAAGACGGAGAGGAGAGGGAGAAGGAGTGGAGAGGAAAAGAGAGAGGAGAAGAGTGGAGAGGAGAGGAAAACAGTGGAGAGAAGAGAGGAGAGGAGAGAGAGGGAGAGGAGGGGAGAGGGAGGAGAAGAGGGGAGGGGAGAGTAGAGTAGAGTGGAGAAGAGAAGAGTGGAGAGGAGAGGAGGACAGAAAATATGGGATGGAATGGAATTGGAATTGGAAAAGAATACAACAGAATAGAAAATATGGAATAAAAAGAATAGGAATAGAATAGAATGGAATGGGATGGAATGGAATGGAATGGAATAGAGAATAGGAATAGGAATAGAATAGAATAGAATAGTTGGAAGGGACTTTGAAGGTCTTCTAGTCCAACCCCATAGAGTAGAGTAAAGCAGAGCAGACTAGAACAGAACAGAACAAGAGAGCTGAAAGGGATCTTAGAGGTCTTCTAGTCCAACGTGGGGACTTCAACTCCCAGAATTCTGAGGGTCGAAGTCCACAGGTCCTCAAGTTATCAAGGTTGAGAAACAGGTTATCAAAGGGGGAGTAGGCTATAAATTGGTCTATAAATAGAATAAATCAGTTTATTTCAAAGATCTTGCACGTATTAATTGTCTGCAGGTGTCAAGCCATGAAACACACTGTTCTGCCTAAACACGTCTGTTGTAGGACAAAAAGAGAGACAATATGCCTTTCTCCTATAAAAAAAAGATTACTAAAATCACCTTTCAATTTCAGGAGAATTTAAAAAAATAAAATCTATTTTAAGCTTCCCTGGGTAATAGAAAAAAAAAATAGGAAGAACGATCCAAGCAAAAAAGTTTTAACTTTATCGAATGCCTTTTGTCTCTCTGGTGGGATAACAATAAATGGATGCTGGGAGCTGTTATCCTGGCTTTGGCTGTCCAGATGTTGGACTACAATTCCCAGCAGCCCCAGCCTCTTCGACCTCCCCTTCTCACCCCTTTGGGTGTCATTTTCACACCTTCCGTTTTTGTCTTCCGTTGCAGATCTCAACAGTGCAGCCCGAAGAACATTTTCCATTCTCGGACTCTTCACTTCCCATGCAGCCGGTTCCCTCAGTATCTTCTTCGCTGCTGAAGTCATCCCCACCGTGATCAGGTCAGGTGGAAAAGCCCCCCACCCCCCACGCCCCCCAGAGAATAGGGAGGGGGTCCTGGGGTAGAAAAATAGTTAAAAGCAGGGCTCCCCAACTTGTGGGCCGCGGCCCATTCCCGGGCTGTGGCCTATTCACAAACCGGGCCACGGGTGTGGCAGGCGTGCAGCCCGACATGCACGAGCGTTGGGCAGATGTGCCCGCTGCTGTCACAAATGAAGCGGTGTGCTCACACCCGCCCCTTGCACAAAACTGTTCCCCGTTTCCTTCCCTCCCCATCTCACTGAGCCACCAACCTGGAGAGGTTGGGAGACGCTGACAGAAAAACAGCTTTCGGGGAGGTGGGGCGGGGGGGGAAATCTCCAGTGTAAATTCGCATCCTTCCTGACCTTTCCCTCCGCTAGTTTTGCCTTCAAGTGTCTAGTCCTCGTGATTATAGCTTTTGCCCCTTTCTTCCTCTCTTCCTTCCATCCATCCATCCTTTTCATTTCTCTTTCCTAACTCCTTCCTTCCCTTACTGTTTCTCTTTTCTTTCTCCTTCCTTACTTCCTCCCATCCTGTTCTGACCTAGGCTTCTCTCAACAACACGAAGCTGGGTTCTCATTCCAGTAAACCCCTTTTATTTGATTTACAATGAATTTCCTCTCCAGCAAAATCCCGGCCAACAGTCTTAGTTCTCAATTACAAACTTTTAACTGGCTTGGAGAGTGGCCAAGCCGATATCTTTCAAACACCGCACTACTTGGCAAGCATGCCGGAATGAACTAATTGTCTCCTGCAAAGCCCTCTCTCCTTTCGCTCCTCTTTTATAGTCTAGGTGAGGGGCCATTCACTGTCCACCTGTGCCTTTACTTCCAAGTTGACCCTTGTTCCTCAGCTGTTCCCTTCTTCTAGCAGCTCTGCGCATGTGCATGCTGAGAACAGGCTCCAGCTGTTCTTCTGCCTTACTGATCTCTGACTCTGAAGGCAGCTGATAATTGTCAGACGGCCCTGGCCCCATCTCTGCCTCCAACACAGAGCCCTCATCAGAGCCTTCCCCAGACTCCATGTTCCTCCCCAAAATCCTCACTGTCTGGCTCTGCTCTGCTGGCTACTGTTGGACCACAACACATCCATCCATCCATCCATCCATCTTTTCCTTTCTTCCTTTCTTTCTCTGTACTTGTTCCTTCCTTCTTCCTCTCTCTTCCCTCCTGCCTCCCTCTTTCTTTCTTTCTTTCTTTCTTTCTTTCTTTCTTTCTTTCTTTCTTT